CCTCCTCCTCATTTCTTTAAATTAAGCCAGTACTCTCTCATTGAACAAGCATCACCATTTCATTGCAAGACTCATAATATTTATTCTATGAACCCTTAACTTTCATGATTATCAGATAATTTGTGGGGTTTTTTTCAATCTTTTCTTGTAACTCTTGTAACTCTTGTAACAGGCACTGTAATTAACAACTAAAACACACAAAGCAAGTTACTGCTGAAGAACTAGAAACCATCAAATATACAAAAACAAAGAAATCTAAGGATTTAGGTCTCAGTCCTACTGTTTGGGAGACTGTGTTTGGCAATATAAATTGAACTTTCCTTCCTGCAGTAATTCTTGTTCTTCTGTCAGAAGCAGAATAGAATAAAATATCATGACAGCCCTCTACATTGCTAGGAACATTAATTTGAGATCTGGCCTTGGTTTAGGACTATCCTTGGTTGTACCCCTTCACTGAGTTTTTGGATTTTATTCAAATGTTCCTGAAACTCCTGCTCTGATTTCTGCCTTCTTTCATGTGATGCAATTTGACCATGAACGCAGCCCACTGAGACATAAAGATCTTTCTCTCTCATCTTTGTTTATTACCTGTTGTGTGAAAAGACATATTATTTGCTCTATGAAACAATGAATCCTTCACATTCTCATGACAATAAGACAAGAGCTTCAGTAATGCTTCTGGCTGTTCCCTAAGTTTTATGGTACCAAAACACATCTTTTATTCCTCTTCACATTAATCATCTAGTCAATAATTAACCAATGTCCAATGCCATGGAGCAACCAATACACTGCATGTCACCATCACCTCTCTGCAAGCTGCCTGCTGCATAGATCAGGCCTCAATAGTAGCTTACAAGCAGCTTCTTATACTAAAATCTACTGCCACATTTATTCATACAACTGATACAAACATGCTTCCAACACTCTTAGCTTCATCACACAAATTTCAGCTATCAAAGCACTGCCAGGAATACTTTGTTCAACACCTGCTACCTCAAACTATTCAAATTATTGCAAGACCCTGACAATCTATATAGATGCCTCCCTAAATCCCTGCCTCTGGTCCAAAATGCCTTGCAAAGAGTAGTTTGTGTCTATTGTGTGTCTTGGTGTGTGCTCTGGTGGGATCAGTTCTTCATGGGGACAATAAGTGCTCCTTGTTGCACTGAAGTCGGCTCCCAAAGCAGCCCTTGCTAGCGCTGTAGGATAAATTACTCAGTGGCTGCTGTACAAGGAAAGACAAATTTTAACATTGTTTTTATTTAATTGGCTCAGAATAACATAAGCAGTCTGTAGGAATATATTTCAGGGTAAAGTTAGCAAAGCCCTTAAGCAAGCTATAGCAAACAAGGGAGGTGCATAGGCCACCATCTTTGAATTGAGGGGGGGATAAAGCACTAGACTAGGACATCAAATGCCCATTTTGAATTTCAGCCGTGTCTTCTACAAGACAGGGTGTGGGGAACAACATATGCCCCCTGTTCACCTGTGCTGATTGGGGCTGCAAAGTCATAAATCTCTGCTCTGTCCCCACATTAAACAGGGGTTTGGGAACTGGAACAACGAGGGGACAGATTCCTAAACAAATACAGTCAAGGGCAATTATCACACCCAAGGGAGTATATAATGGAATATAATCAATTTCTCTTCAAATATTTGGGGAAAAAGGGGTCAGAAACAATGAAGAAAAGATACCACACTCATTAATGCAAACCTCAAAGATACCTGTAAGCTGCACATACATTTACAGAGGATAAACTAGACCTGCAATCTCTTCCAAGCAGTAGCAAGTCCCTGGGGAGCTATTTCTTTTGTACTGTAAGTAGATACCTGGCAGGGGAACCACTCTTTCGTGACTAAATGTTTTTGTAGTGTTATTTTGCAATAGTATTGCCATGGCTGCATTATTATTGTTGCTGAATTCTTCCTTTTCTCTCCTGGAATATTCCTCTGGGCAAACTGTGGCTTACTACAGGCTTTTGCAGAAGACAGTCAGAGGCAGAGCAGATAAAAATCCAGTTAACTTAACAGGCAGTAAAGTGTAGCATTGAAAAAAAAAAAACAAGCCTTAAGGAATGCAATAGTTAAACCAGCAGAAAACAGTACCGTTTCCTGTAGCAATTTAGAACCTTTGTGAAAGACAAGGCAGTCTAATAGTGTGCAGCAATGGAGAAAGGTATAAAAGCAAGACATATCTAAATCCTGTAAATGGTCTCATCCAGCAGTAGGCTAGACTTTGTTTGTAAGCATGGTCAGTGCATGAATACAGCCTCCCAGGGAAGGCAGTACCCAGCTGCACCCAACAGGCACATATCAGCTTGGCCAGCACCTGATAGCTGACACTGATGGTTACAACGCAATGAATCCATCATCTTCCTAGCCCCACAGGTCCAAGCAGAAAAGGGCAAGAGACACAGGTCCACTCATTCCTAATCAAACTGCACCTGGGAGAGAACCAGCTATGCAGTCAATACCCCAAGCTGAGGAACAGAGACCAGAAGTTGGAGCTTGCTGTCCATCAAGCTGTGAGCCTGTGACGTCTGCCACGTTGTGTGAATAATTACACTTGCATCCAAATCTGGCTTCAACTTATCCACTTGAGCAAAGAAAAGCAAGCAGGTTAGTTCATCAGTGAGAGCATTTTGCAAAGCCTCCAGCTTTATTTGTTCTGTGCTTCATGGTGCAAACAGGGATCATATGGACACTTTGAAAAGACAGTATAGGTAGGCATAGCAGTGACTTGGGCTTCAACAAGCCCACCCAGACACTGTTTATAGTAGATGAAACCCATACTGCTAGTTAAAAGCTAACTCAGACATAAATATATGTGCTCTGCAATCCGTCACCTGTACTGCAATGTAAACCAAACAGCAGAAGATTCCTATTTAGCTCCTGGTCTGCCACTGGTAGGTTGAGTGACCTTGAAAAAGTCATACCACTTTCCTACCCCTCTCTTTAAACTGTACAGCAAGGACAGGAGAGGCAGCCAGCTATAATAGGACCTTGATCTTGACTGGCTTAATAATCCCAATAATAAACATTTCAAAGATGGAATTACCTAGAGTCATCCTCAGGCACTTTTTGCACTGCATATGTATATATTCTAATTTAGACGCCTACACATCAACTGTAAGTGAAAGCATCACCTTGTGCTTTTATTACCCAAAGTCCAAAGAAACTGAACATCCTAAAAGCCACCTCACAGGATGAAAGAAGGTGAAATACAGAAGCTGCTAGAATGCCTTTAGCTACAAAACTGCATGGTAAAAAAAAATGGTCTCTTTCCTCCAGTCCATTCAGATTGGCTTTTATCTACATACTGAAAAACCCGACTCTAGAAACTGTCTGAGGCAAAACATCCATGGTAGACATATGGAGCCTCCAGGGGCATTGATAACTGAAATAATTGGCATATTACCACCAGAGACTCAGAAAAGTCACCTTCCAATTACAATGGGTTGCTTCTGACAAAAGTCAACTGAGGTGCATAATGACATTGTTCATTAGGTTTCACTAATGATAAAATTTCTGATTTCAATATTTAATACATCTCAGAGATCACAGTGCATAATTTAATGTGCAAGCAGATAATTTGCTGATCAAGGTACATGTTTCACATTAAGGAAAATTGTTTTACTCTTTGCTGATTAACTGAATCACACATACACACACAAACTATGCCACTCTCTTCTATTAGTGAAGCATTGTCCTTCCTGAAGCTAGTTTCTCATGGCAGACAACTAAACCCTGTATACCTGCTCTTTTACATGCAGTATAAATGCTCTATCACCCATGTTTGAATTGTTTTCTATCTTGACCCACTGGTGTCTCACACATGCATCATTTCAGGACATCATTGGTAACAGTGAAGTAGCCCATGTGCTGAGGCTGCTGTGCCCTGTGCCTCCTGGTATTACTTCTCTTTTGGCTGTTCATGTGTCTGCACCTGAATCTACCCCTTGTCTACCATCTTAAACACGGAGAGCAGCTCTCTGGGCAGGAACTGTTTTGGGGGTTTCTACACTTCCATAGCCAAGCATGAAGGCACCTGAATGAACAATACCTACAAATTACTTTTAGGATGGTGTGCTAAGGGCTGTGTGGATATAAACAGGGACATTACTGTAACTAGCACAGAATTCCGGGTTAAACGTAGAGACATGTAAAGTGAGGAATTTTTTTTTTGTTGTTTTCACTCAGCAGTTCAGAATTCTGACTTAGTTCTAGGGAGCAGCAAGACTCAGATGTCAAATCTCAGAATGATTCAGAAAACAGAAGGGTCATTTTTCACTTTCCTGCTCTGTTAATTCACTTGCTTGTTTTGTAGGGTAGTTTAAATCATCTCAGAAAAAGAACTTAGTCAATGGACAAGCGCTTCTAATTACTCAGTGAAACACAGGAGGAGGAAGCAGGCTGGAGCAGCTACTCGAGGGCTATAGCCCAGAGGCATTTCCATAGATCTCACTACTATTATTTGGGGTATATATCTTACAGCAGCTGCTGATCTGGGCTATAAATATCCAAACCAATTTTATTTATACTTTGAAAGTTGGGAAGAATATCAGCCTCTCTGAAAGCCTAGATTATTCCTGGAGATAGTATCACTCCCACTAAAAACCAGAACTAGACACCACAAAGTTTACGCTGAAACTATTCTGCAACATTTTACTTGAACACTGTCCGTTAACATGCTGCTAAACCCCTGTGAACCGCTTAGAAAATGTACCCCCAAGCCTGAATTTGTTAGAATTTCTCAAGACCTGTATATGCCTGAGATCCCAGAAGGTACCAAGCAGCTTGAATCGTTTTTTGTATTTCCTTTCTGTCTCCAAGCTCAGACAAATTAATAGGAATATATTGGCTCAGCCAATCACACTGGAGGAAATGGAGCTGGCTATTAATGATCTCAAACAGCAAACGGCCCCTGGGTTAGAAGAGCTCCTAGTGGAGTGCCACTCTAAGTTTTAGCAAAAGCCAAACTTTTTCTAATAGCTTCACTAGTTTTTCTTTCCCCCCTCACTCTTTCACTGCCAATCCATCCCCAGACTCTCTGTGGATGACAATATTCCTCACCAATTGCTGTTTGCCTATGCCTAAACAACTCGTGTCTCCTGGGTCTGCTTTAATCATCTGCCCTCCCCTTTGGCTAATTGATGCCATAGCCTTCTCCAAATTTGAAGTCAAAAAGAGAGGGACAGCAATGGGGCCGTATGTGCAGTGGAGACAAGTTGGCTTTCTTGGATTTACACCAACCAAAAGCTTGGTCCAGGCAGGTAATAGCTGGTAGGCTAGCCCCTAACCTGTCTGCCCAGATATCTGTAAATAACCAAACAGAGTTTAGCTGATCCAAACAGTGGTAGGAGAGAAAGACAAATTGTCGCTTATCTTTCTTTCTGTTAAGATATTTGGGAAACTATTCTCTCCTGAGGACAGCTATAACTGAATGTTCTCATGTTTTCATGTGACTATTAATAATGGCAGGCCTTGTCCTTTTATTAACATACCAGTTAAACTTTGAAGCTAAAGAGAGGCAATGTGTGTTCAGGAACAGAGAGGAAAACTCTGGTCACTAGGCAAGTACAAATGAAGTATAAACAAAAACAAAGCAAAACCAAAGCATAAACAAAGTGAGGATAAAAAATAAATCAAATTCCAAAACCAATGGCCAGGTTTTCAAAATCTCAACTGGATATTTCCTTTGGTTGCCATCTTATTTTGGTGTTAGACCAGGGAATGAGATCTATCGTACTTTCTCTGTTTCACCTGCTGAATTTAAAATGTTGATGGTACTGGCAAGCAGGGCCTGGCATACAGGCTTCACCATTCCCTGCCAGGGGGGCAACCTACCCACTGTGTTACAGACAGGTGGCCTTTCTCAAATACTCCCTAGCTGAGGATAGCTCTGACTGCTGCAGGTCAGGAGTTTCTCTGGTACCAACAGCATATTAACATAAAAACTCATTCTTCTAAAGACTACAGGCTGTGCTCCTATACCAAGGGATCTCCCCATACTCCTTTTCTGTCTAGGTCACACACCCAGATGCAGCTGCAACACAAGGAAATGTGTGGGCCAACACATGCCTGACAACCTTGGCAGAACAGGCATGGCAGCACAAAGCTACATGTGAAGGCAATGCTTGCTGGAAGACTCCAGATACACACACAGCTTTCTATCCTGCAAAAAAACAGACAGACTAGAAAGTCCATAGCATCCTAACTCTTAACTGAAGTAGCTGAGTTTTCTGCACTCAACCTTCACAACAGCAGAGTCAACAATCCTTACCTACTTTAGGAGCAGTGAAAGGGTTGTGACAAGCCTAGCTGGGCTTTAGAGCAATACATCACCTGCCAGAGTCCTTCCTCGTTGTCTGCAATGAATCACAGCGAAGACCTCTGCCAAGATAATTCAAGAATTGATGGAGGTATCTGCAATAAGAGCTTCAGCCCCCTCTGCTATCTCCGGATTGAGGGCTACAAAAGCCACATAAATCCTACGGCCAGATGTGCCAAATTCACTCCACTATACAGGCAGTTTATTTACAGAAACTCACACAGAAAGCTCTGATTTTGCCCTGATTTTATCAACTTGCGCAAATAAAATCTCTCTCATTCATTGCTAATGACTCTATGTCCCTTCTACTGTGGTTTGCTAAAGCGATTGTCCCACTATGGGCATCAAGCTTCTAAATCCAAAGGTCAGATCTATCCAAATATTGAGGCATCTACTTCCCACTAAGTCAGCAACAAACTTATTCCTGCAGGAGGAGAAGGGCACTGAAACACGGCAATGTAATCACCCATTATTATAAGCCATCCCTCTCTTCAGCTGTGCCAGCTTAAGTTCAGTGTTTTGCAGGTGTCTGTGTGGCAGCAGACTTCAAACTAAACCACTCTCCAACAATCTTAAAGTCAGAGATTTTAGGCTTTAAAACCTTAAGCACAAAAAGTGCACTTCACAACAGCTCCTGTGGGTGTTATAAGGAGCAACAAATGCTTTTAAGCACTCTTAAGAGAGGAGAAGATGACAATGAAATTGAGGGAAATGGAGAAAAAGATAATTACACTGCAAGCTGCTGCTCTTATCTCCCAACTACTTCCAAGGCAGCAAGAACCTAGGGAGCAGGCAGCAGCTGCCACCCTATTAAACTCAACAATTTACAGGTGCTTGGAAGAAGCACTTAGAATCATAGAATCAACTAGGTTGGAAAAGACCTTTAAGATCACCAAGTCCAACCATTACCCCAGGACTGCCAAGATCACCAGTAAATCATATTACTGAGGGCCTCACCTGCATGATTTTGAACACTTCTAGAGACATTGATTCCTCCACTTCCCTGGGCAGTCTGTCCCAATGCCTGATCATCCTTGCTGTAAAGAAATTTTTCCTAATATCCAGTCTAAACCTCCCCTGACACAGCTTGAGGTTGTTACCTCTTGTCCTATGGTTTGTTACCTGGGAGAAGAGACCAACCCCCACCTCACTACTACCTCCTGTCAGGTAGTTTTAGAAAGCAATAAGGTCCCCCCTGAGCCTTCTCCAGACTAAACAACCCCAGTTCCTTCAGCCATTCCTCATCACACGTGTGCTCCAGACCCTTCACCAGCTTTGTTGTCCTTGTTGGACCTGCTCCAACACCTCAATGTCTCTCATGTTGTGAAGGGCCCAGAATGGAACACAGGATTCGAGGTACAGCCTCACCAGTGCCAAGTACAGGGGAATGATCACTGCCCTGGTGCTGCTGGCCACTCTGTTGCTGATACAGGTCAGGATGCTGTTGGACTTCTTGGCTGCCTGGGCATAAGCTCTGTCAGTCGGCACTTCCAGGTCCTTTTCAGCCAGGCAGCTTTCCCCAAGCCTGTATCATTGCATGGGGTTGTTGTGGCCCAAGTGCAGGACCCAGCACTTTGGCTTGTTGAACAACATGCCGTTGGCCACAGCCCAGTGATCCAGCCTGTCCAGATCCCTCTGCAGAGCCTTCCTACTCTCCAGCAGGTCAGAACTACACAACTTGGTGGTGTCTGCAGATTTACTGAGGGTGCTTTTGATCTCTTCACCCAGATCATCAATGAAGATATTAAACAACACTGGCCCTAACACTGAGCCTTGAGCGACACCACTAGTGACCAGTCACCAACTAGATGTGACACCATTTACCACTACTCTTTGGGCTTGGCCATGCAGCCAGTTTTTAACCCAGTGAAGAATACACCTATCCAGGCCATGAGCAATTCCTCGAAGAGAATGCTGTGGGAGACTGTCAAATGCTTTACTTATGTCCAAATAGACGGTGTCCACAGTCTTTCCCTCATAAACCAGGCAGGTCACCTTACTGTAGAAGGAGACCAGGTTGGTTGAGCAGGAATTGCATGCAATTAGCCGAGCAAATTCACTTCAAGATGCAGGGCCCAGCTCTTGGCTGCTGCAGTTTGGCTGTGTTCCGTTGACTCTGTGGTGTATTGCCAAGTTACTTCAGATGAGGGTCTAGCTCTAGGAAGTGGGAAAGCCTTGCTCCTCAGCATGATATTGCAAATGATTGCAGGTGTATCGGAACATGCTCCTTTCTCGCTCTGCAACTGCTCTCTGCCTGTAGCAGGTACTGGTGCACTCTGTTAGGCAAAAAGAGAAAATACAATTCCACCCCATACAAGCCTATTAGTCTATACAGCCCAGATAACAGGGATGGGAAAGACACAGGGCAGTAGACTTGGTGCAAGTAACAAAGCTCCTAGGCCTGCTTGAAAGCCTAGTGCAGGCAAAAACTGTGCATCACCGCTGACTAAGGCTAGTACTAGAAATGGTTTAAACATTCATCACAACATGAACCTAGACAGTTCTGACAGGAGCAGGAGCCACGCTACTTGTACTGGATGGTATGTGTGTACACAGGGAGCCCTGGCCAACAATGTTGTAGCCCAGACAAAAAGTAAAATTACAATAAAATCACACAGTCATAAATACCATCAGCAGCAAGCAACCTGCTCCACCATGACCTTCACCCCAAAAGCCTCTCATCTAGCCATCTTTGTTCCATGCCTGTTGTGGCCTCCCCATGCTTCTATTACTTGACTAAAATGATAATCAAGTGCAAACATCTAGCAAAGCTACATCTACAGGGAGGTCACATATTATGAATTCTTCGTTTAGTTGAGCTGGCATGAAACAGGGATATTCTGGTGAATGCAGTCCGCTGCAATCAGTAAAACTACTTGCATTTATTTTTGATGAAACTCTGGCCCAGTGATTTAGGAAGCAGACAAAAGGAAGCCAGGATAATTGTTTTAAGCATGGAATAAATAAATATGACTACTTCATGGTATGATGTCTCTTCTTCTGCTGCTCTTTCTCTTCCAGTTAATCTCATTATTGCAAATTAGGGAGTTTCTGTGGCAGTTTAAAAGGTGTACTCTCACACATACAAAGGAAATAAACAAAGTATTTTGCTTCAGATCTCAGCTGCAGTCAATTTATTCTTTGAGGCACTTGACTTAAAAACCATAAGACTTCGGTCTCTGTGCTTCTATCAAAGTCACACATAAATTGAAAAAGCCCCTGCTCACATCCACTCAAATTCAGTAACACTGCTGCTCTGATTTCAAAATGACCTGAAAATACTTCTGTATTCTCTTTGTTTCTAGCTGGTTCTTTATTCCCATTCTCCAATTAAATAGCAGAAAAATTCAAAGTACCTTCTAATTGAGGGTAATCCAAAATGAAAGCTGGCTAGAAGGCTGAAATCAAAGAGCTGAATAGGATATCATTACTTACACCAAACAGTCCCATGATAACATCTAGGAGAGCATGACGGCTTTTCTCCATAAAAGCCAGGGTTATACTCACTGTCTAAGAACACAAACCCACAGAGGACAGTGCAATAAAAAAGTGATGTAGTTTAATCCTTGGCTACTGTAAATTAGCTATGGTTTGGTGCATGCTCTGTGACAATGTACCCAGTGCTCAAAAATATCCTTTCTCTGAGAAAGCCTTGGCTTGAGCAAGAGCAGTGCCTGAGAGTAAGATGAGAGGAACTGCTGTTAGGAACTCCTTGCTAAATCAGTGTTTTATTTAACATGATAATTAGAACAAATATCTTTGAGACCTTGGGCAATGTTACAAATTTAAGACAGCCTGGAAGCACCTAAATTGCATGTTTAAAATTGTCAGCATTCTGGGAACTGGCTATGATGCTGTTTTGAAGCTCTTGTTAGCACCTTTGGGCAGAGACTGTTTCTTGGACTCTGTACACGGTGCAGTGATTGCCTTAAGGTACAGTATGCACCAAGAGAAAATATCTCTGAAGCCATCAGGGACATGGGCTGATAAGAGCAGCAGAGCCCCCACCTACCACCAGGGACCAAAACTAGGAACTTCATCTCCTTAGGCTTATGCTGTAATCAGCAGAGGGAAATCACTCCAAAGCATGAACCTGGCTCTTTAGGGAAGCTTAAGTCCTACAAACTACAAAGATGATGATGGTCAAGACCTAATGTAATGCCTTCATTAGATACCTGAAGCTACTGGATGGATCCAGACTAAGCACCTGGGAACTGTGAAATTTAGCAGTAATGCTGCCTGGCTTCATGACTGTGGAATAACAGGAGAGCAATAGGGAGTGAAGATTTTTGTCCTTCCTGCTATAATTTGTGCACAGAATTTTGCACTGCATTAGTCACAGCAAACACACAGTCACATAGTGCTAGAAAACTTTCATATTTTATTTATTATGACATCCAAAAATCAGAGGACTATTTCTCACTTTGTAATTCTTAACTGCATGGTAATCCCCAGCTTCATCTTCTGTTTTCATTGTAGCTGCTGCTTATTGCTGTAATCCCTGAAATAAACTTGCCTTATGACATACCAATTCATCCCTAGACTCAGCCTTAGGCTTCCTGAGCGTTAACAGAAAGATAAGATCCATTGAGAGATGTGAATGCAGGCTCAGTCACACAATAAACAACCTTTTACCAACTGGGCATAATCCCTTTATCAGATTGTGCCTGATGCATTGTATTCTCTAGTCCATAAGTGCTTTTCTGGGGTCAATTAGAAGCAGGGTTAAGAGGAAAGAAAAAATCCTTATGGAGGAATTTTATCATTTCAATAGGAAAATTTCTCCACTGTAAACCAGCTGGGCTGTTAAAAAGTTGGTAGCTTAACGGAGAGCAGCTACTCATATCATTTGAAAAGGCATTCTCCTAAAATCAACTGGGCACTGCAGTTTATCCCGGAGCACTCAATTCATGAGATAACTTATGTGCAAACAGTAGAGAGCCAGGAGAGGGTGCTCAACAATAACTAGAAGAGGTCCTGTATACTGATTATGCCCTGGCAAGTGATGCTTGCACACAGACAATTTACATGGAACTGCCTGAAGCAACATGAAGAATAGAGGATTTATTAATTAATATTTTAAAATTTCCAAAGGTGTTTTAATCTAGCTCTTTAAAAAAACGTTTTTGAATACAGGGAAATCCACAGGGAGTCTGCCTGCCAGACTTCAGGCATAAACAGTTAAAATTCCACCCAAATCTCTGTGCCCAGGTGTCCTGCCAGCAAAGAGTATGAAGGTCTCTAGTCAGTTCACTGAAAACATCACTCATTGGGATCTTGAGGAATCTGAACTAGTTGGATTTATGTTTAACTCATTTCAACAAAATGTTATGTGCTAATTCCCCAAAGTACTTAAGTGCCCAAGGGTTTTGGTCAAGCCATGGTTTTCACTGCTTTCCTTTTCCAATTTTGAATACATTGTTTTAGTTGCATGTTAACTGGAC